TGACAAGAAGAGGTCAACGCTCCGCGTGTGTCACCTTGGAAAACCTGTTCAGTGTACTTGCACATGAACTCCTGGTGAACAAGGTCAGTGCACGACGCTTGACTTTTGACGTTGTAAGCATATCTGCGTGTGAACTTTCTACAGTTGAGAGGATGCAAAGCTCTATCTACATCGTGGCGAAGAACTACTGAGTGGAATCTGAGCGAGGCAAACCTTAACTGTCGGTTTTCACGAATTAAAGAAAAGGACGAGGTGCACGCTGTATATACGTAAAAGACCGCTTAGTTTCAATAGTGATGTGTAGTCAGAGTCTATTTTGATAGGTCTCGCGGCAAAGATATGGCGAACCATTGTACATAGTCCACTACCCTTGAATTTCAAGTGTGACCATTGCTGATAGCGTCGGTCACATGGGGGGTGTCAATAGCAGTGGGACGACAGTATACCTCAGTATACCTCATGCATGTACAGCACACACTAGCGTGTCACGCCAACTCTTTGGCTCAAGACTCCCGTAGAGCCAGCGGAAAACAAGAGCGCTCCATCGCCGTCTACGAGGGAGAGGACAGTCCACTCATACTTCCCGTTGAGCAGATTAATATCCACACGCAGCATTCGTGGTGCAAAGCATATCGCTCAGGAGACCAAGACCAACCCAGATAGGGGCAGAGCACAAGTGCACTTGGTGAGGTGCACACTTCATATGCCAATCCACTGCGTTCTGTGGACACCTTTGTTGCACTTTTTTGACCATAGCTAGCTTGCTTGGCGCAGCGTCTGAAATCAAACAGAGTATGAAAGTCTTGGTACGGCAAGCAAAATCAAAAGGGCTCATATCAAGCGCTTTGCAAATTCCAGACCATATGTTTTCTGCCGTGGTTCCGGAAAGGATCATTGTTGGAAACACAGACGCCGCTGTAAACAGCGGCCCATCATGCGAAGCAACGATTTCCTTTCGAGTAACCAGAAAAGGAAAGAGTGCTGTGGCCTTGGCTAAGCACTTCTGACACAATGCCCTTTGAGAGGTCTCATCCCACTCAATGCCAAACCGTAGGACGTCAGGCATCATCTGACAGGGAGCACAGAAACCAGACAAGATAAGATGGACCAACAATCCCTGGTGGCAAACAAAGGGCTCGATGACTCAATGACACACTAACACTACCTGTCCTATCACACACTAACACTAACAAAATCAAGCAAAAACCTTTGTTCCACTCTTGTTACCACTGCCAGTACCTATATAAAGCGTTACAACCGTTACAACACAGTACCAAACGCTGCCTCCATCAAACGCTTTGTGGCTTCCTGCTGGCATATCATGTGCAATGCTGCCACTGCATTCCTCACCTTCAGGGTTTTTGTGCACTACTAGTACCACTGTTAGTGGCTGCCTACTGCTATTCAAGGCTTGTCCCTACTGTGCCTACTTGTTACATTGTCATGTTTAGTTTGGTTCTGCCGTGCCTTCCCAACGTACGAAGTGCTTGCAGAAATCCAGTATGAAGTAGAGTTCAGTGAAAAATAACAGGGGTTTTTGAGTGGTTTCGCGATCGCCGACGCAGCTGATGTGTCCAATCCCAACCTGTAAATTGTGGTGAAGAGGGACATTGACCAAGACGACGTTTTCATGCTATGACTCTATGACCTTCTGATAACTCTTGTCCAACTAAGAAACAGTCAGTCAATCAACACACAACACTTTCTAAAGACCCGTCAAAGAAACAATGTTCTGATCATAGCATTTGATGTCGAGCGTTTGTAGGTGCCCTTGCCCTTCACTCCCGTCACACTTCGTTTGACGGTGACGATGTGTATCGGCAGAATCCAAACAAATCAGGTCTCTCTTTCTTGTAGCTTGGGTGGAGTTGCACTTCTGTATCTTACGCTGAGCAAACTCCAAGATTCGAGTGTGCTTTCTGCGCAAAGATGCCAGCTTCCCATGCCTGGCAAGAACATGGTTCCGATGTCCGCAACGTGGTCTTTGCTCCACCTCCGCATCGATGGCTTCCAATGCAGTCATTACTGCCACCATGACTGCACCGGCCAAGCATGTGGCACTAAGCAGTGCACATAACTACACCTCCAGTGTATGTCCTTTCTTGACAATTCTAGTGGTTGATTTATTTTGTTCTCATGCGAGTCTTCTGTATCCATATAATTAATGTTTCTATCTATGATATGATTTTTTCAACCTGATTTATTAATAACCTTTTGCCTTCCTAGTCAAAGCCGCGGTAGAACACACACACAAGCGCCCCAGCTATGGCTATAGGCATCTATAGCCTAGGCCATGTGTGATTCCATCCATGCCACAAACAAAACAGAACATAGATCACACAGTGGCTTAAAGGATTTTGGGTCTAAACGAAAGCGCTGCGCATACCAATTATCTCTCGACTGAAGCCGGCTGTGTGTTTTTGTAAACACTTATGTGAACTTATGTGTGCATTTTGTTCTTGATGGGATGCTGACGCAAAACTTCAATCCTGCATTCAATCCTGCAGCTGAACAAGTTACAGCTGTGTGTTTACAATAATGCAACACATACATACGAAAGACAAGAAATACGTACGCTAACAAAAGATCATTTATGCAAATATGTTGAACTTATTTACGACAGGAAATATGTAAATATGAAATACGTCAATGGCATAGTAGGTCAAATCTTAGAAAGCATGCTCCACAGCACTCTTAAACTAAGGAAATTCAAAGCACTCCAAAGCCCAACATAAAGAGATGGTTGCACAGTGCACCAATCCAGCAGTTCACCATTTCCGTGAAACAGTGCTCTCAGCCATGGACAGAGATGCCGATTAAAGGCCGACGTCACCACCTCCGGACGCTGAAACGACCGAAGAGAGCAAAACGCGTCCGACCGGAGGCGAAGGCGGACGTCCACCACGCGCTCCATGCGTTCGAGGTGTCCGATCCATTGGACCATGCAGAGACCGACCTGCAAGCCTATCGTCACGTCCAGCCCATTCTGACGCTGTTGGCCAAGAAGCTTCGCTTAAAGCCCAGGGAACTGCGGATTTGGGATCCCTATTTTTGCAAGGGAACCGTGGTGCAGCACATGGCGAAGCTGGGATTTGACCAGGTGCGGAATGTGAATGAAGATTTCTACAAGGTGCAAGAAGGGGATCTTCCGGAACCTGTGGCTGAAAGAAACGCACGCTTTCATTGATTCAGATTGTGAAGCGTTCCACCGGATTCGGTGTGTTCTTTGGCTCAGTGTCGCAACTGAGGACTACAACGTGCTGATGACCAACCCACCCTACTCCTCCGACCATTTACAACGATGCCTAGACTTTTGCAGAAGGGCTGGTAAACCCTTTCTCCTGCTGCTGCCCTGCTGGGTGGCCAAAAAACCTTACTTCTCCACGCTAAAGCCTCTTGAAGAGTCTATGTTTTTTGTGGTGCCCCTGCAGCGATACAGCTACACCATGCCTCCTGATTTGGTCCCAGCTTCATGTAAGCCCTCTTGGGTTGGAGAAGATGGGGCTACTTCGCCTTTCTTATCTGCTTGGTATGTCTGCGTGCCGAGTATGCCCAACTTTTTCAAAGCTGCGAAGACAGTCATGGATCGGGAAGGACCTTTTGATTGTGTCCTTGTCAAGAGCCTTCAAGCCTCAAAATGGAAGCTCAAGAAGGCCGGCCAAACCGGAGAAGCTGAAGCGCCGAACACCGCAAGAGCTGGTACCAACAAGAGATGCAACAAGAGGAGAGTTGCTTCCAAGAAAAGAACAGTGCCAGGGACCATAGAGTTTGATTGAGGTGATGGTTCAAGTGATGAACCACAGTGAAGCACTGTGATGTCGTGGCTGCCTTCCATTCTGTGTGAATGGGCTTGAACGACGTGACCACCGAGGCACAGAAGACGACCGATCGGAGATCAAAGATCGGAGATCGGAGATCGGTCGAGAAAAGTCGAAGCAGAGACGGTTTGGAGTTGATGTCAATGCGGTGTTTGGCAAATCTCCGCTGCCGGTGTTGGTGTTGGTGTTCGTGTCTCGATCCTTCAGGCCGGGCCTCTGGAAAGAGACTCTGGATCTAGTGTAGGTGCTGATTTCTGTGAGGAGACCAGGACACATGTTGAAAGAGTGGCCCAAAAAGCTTGCCAAGACGTCAAAAGCCCGCTTGACATCTAACAACAACTAACACCTGAAGTTGGGCTCCAATGTCCTCCAGCATCAGCTATCTTGTCTATGGCATGTCATACTTTTCCTACACTTATCAGTGAACGGTCGCAGGCAACTTCCATGCAGTGCAATGCAGTGCCATGGCCGGTGCGTTTCTGGCTGGATTCTACGGCGTTTCTGCAGATCTTTCAGGCCGACGAGCACAGGTGCGGTAGGTCGAAGGAGTTCGCGTGGCGCGTCGGTGCTGAAAACAGGTCGACGGACTCCGTGGCCAGCCTCGCCCAAGCGAAGGAGAACCCGAAGAATCGGATACGACGACGCTGGGACCGGCGGGTGGGTCAAAGTAGGGCCAGCAGACTCAGCAGACCATTTGGTTTTCTTCTGGGAAAGAACGGACCCTGAATAGTTCTGGAACTTTTACGGTGAATAATCAATCCACAAGATCCTCTAGCTGGTGATTCACGATCCTTCTTATATACTATATATCCAATCCACATGTTCTTCGTGCCCAAACCAGGAGGAGGTTGAGCGAGGCTCCTGGGCGAAGACGCTCGCCTCGGCCCTGCCCTTCTTCGTGGCGGCCGGCGCCGCTCGGAGAATGGAGCGAGGTGTGGATTCATGTGTGGTTTTCTTCCTTAATTCCGGCCGACGGAGATGTTCGGCTGCTGGGGCCATGCTTGGGCAGATCGTTTTTTTCCAGAAAACCACCGCAAAAGCATCGCCACATCTCGCCACCTCCCGCCACGATTCGACTAAGGCGGGCACCACGGCCTTCGCCTTCTACGACGGCCTCTGGGTGCCGCTGCTCCGCGACGGGGAGCGCGCCTCGGAGGTGGGGGTCTGGGGAACGACGGGTTGGTGGAGGGAGAAATGTGAAGAATAACACTCTTTCTATATATATATAGATCGTATGGACAGCAGATGGCAGCAGGAAAATGTAAGGGAAAACCATTTCTTTTTGAAGCAGTTAGCGCAGCTGACACTTGAAGAGCGCTAGGCCAGCCTGCAAAGTGTATTCTCATGTCATGTGGCCCCGGATTTGCATTGCTTTTCTTGTCCCCGGGTGAAACGACTGGTGACGGTGGCTGGCCCCTGAGCAGTGTCGGTTCCTGGTCGGTCTCTTCTCGCTGGCGAACCAGAGGTGAAGCGATTGGACGGGTTTCTGCCGGAGAACAAGATCACATGGGCGGCTGAAAGGCTCTTGGCCGGCCAGGTGGGTGGAAGGGTTAGAGAAGAATGGAGAGAGATATGGGGTTCATCAGATTCCAAGATATTCCAAGAACATGTGATTTGAGTTGGACTTTTAAGATCCATTGAAAGTAAAAAGAAGAGCGCGGGGAACTGGGACGATTTCTTTGGTTGGACCATCCAACTCTCTGGTTCGACTGGGACGATGTCGGTTGACGTGGCTGTTGGTTCCTGGGCGACGGGCTTTGAAATCGCCCATTTGAAAACAGATGAAGTGATTCATGGTGAGCAACGCCTCTTCCAGGGAGCCTCGTGGGGTTTGCACCAGCTGCAACTCCTTCCTTCCTTCCTTCCTTCCTTCCTCGGCTCTCATTGGAGCTATCTTCAACTAGAGCATCCCTGAATCTCTTTTGTTTCATTTCACTCATCAGCACGCAGGTGGTGGTTCTGGATGGCGTGGTGTCACGTGCTGATCTGCCAAAGCTGCACGAGGAGCTAAGCTCGTTGGTGCCTCAGCGGCAATGGATGGGGTGATCTGGGTGTGAGTAATATAGGGAGACCTCCCAAAGATCTTTGGAATAGGGAAAATTCACCAGTCTACCCATTGGGCCAGGGTGTCTCCCTATCAAAACGCACGCCCATATGTGTGATGGTGGGCCACAACAATCCAACTTAGCTTCTGCCAAAAGACATCTGGATTTGATGGCTGTTTGTCTGGGGAAGAAGTGTTCGATTGGATCCTTCCAACCATGTCTCTTCTGACCACGCCCTTTCTCTTTCCGCCGCCGTCTGGGCTTCCGAGGCCTCGAGGCCGGGTGCTTTACAAGCCAATCCCAAGGTGAAAGCTGGGAACGTGGAGATTCGCTGCTGGGACCGGAACTCCGTGGGCGCACGATGATGTGGTCACTCTTCGGGGGTGGGACGGTACTTCCCACCGGTGGGGAGATGAGTCTTCTGGGAAGGGGGGCATGGGAGGTGATGTCTATTCTGGTTGCAAAGACGAGGTGGTTGGGAATCCCTTGAAAGAGTCAAAGCAGACATGTCTTTTTTCCTTTCCTCAATGAGAACGTCTGATTGATGGGGTGGCCATGTTGGTGCGTTCTGAAGACGGGACAGTCCTTTTTCCAACATTATTCACCATTTTCCAACAATTTACCAGATGAGACTTGTT